TGTCCGTGTGTCGTTGCTGAGGCGCAGTGTCCCCGCAGATCTCCGCAGCCAGCCGTACCGCCGCGCCGATGCGCTGAGGAGGAGCGTCCGCCGCCGCTTCGACGAGCACGGCCTGCGCCCCAACGGCGCCGAGCTGGCCCTGTGAGCCCTGCGAGCCGCGCCTGGCCCCCACAGCCCTCCTTGGACAGGAAAAGGGATTTGTTGCGGGTTTCTTTTTTTGTTTTTTTTTTGTTTTTTTTGGGGGGGGCTCCGCGCTCTCCACGCCCAAGTGCCTGGAATGGAAGTTCCTGCTCCGACGGATCCCGGCCGCGGCCTTGGGGGTGCTCGGGTTCCTCGCTGGAGGTCTCGGCAGGATTTGTAACCAAAATGTAAAATATGGGTTGTTTTTTTTTTTTTTGGGGGGAGCAAAGGGTCCTGTGGGCCTGACTGGTTGAAAACTGGGAATACTGGGAATACTGGGAATACTGGGATGTGCTTGGCTTTGAGTGCTGGGCCTTCAGCTGCCCCTCAGGGCTCTTTTTTGAACGAGAAGGACAAACAAAGCCATTTAAAAGCTTTGTGGGAATGAAAAGGATCCCGAGGAGCAGCAGCCCAGCCCTTGGGCCCACAGGGATGGAAAGGAGCAGGATTGGGATGGGGGGGCCAAGGACGGCAGCCTTGGGATAACGGCGTTATTTATTAATTAGCACTAAGCAATTAACAGCCAGTAATCAGTGTTAGGCTCCGAGCAGCAGTCCAGCTCCGTGGTGGGGGGATTGCGGCCCTGCTCCGCCTCTGACCATTCCCACTCCATTCCTGCTGAGGGCAAGCCCAGACTGAAATTCCCGCTGGGTTTTTTTAGGCTCTCCGTGCCATTTCCCAAGCCTTAAAAAAGAAAAAAAAAGAAAAAAAAAAACAGGGGCAGGAGGCAAATGTAGGATCTCCCCTCCCTGAGAGGCAGAGCAGCAGCAGGACAGATCCCACTGCAGGAGCAGAAATTTGTCCTTCCCAAATCCCATTTTGCTTCCAGCTTCCCTGCCTGGGCTCATCCCTCTGTTCATTGTAAAATTTCTTGTATAGTATTTAACCACTGAATTTTCTTTGCCCCTTTTCCATTGTGCTCCCGTGAACCACTGGTGAAGGTCCCTTTTTTTTTTGGTTTGTTTGTTTTTTCTTTTTTTATTTTTTTTTTTATTTTTTCCCCCCCTCGGATAATGTGTAGTTATATGATAATCTGTTTTTAAATGTACAGATATTTTGCTACAAAATTGGTGCAGTTTTTTATGGTTTTTACACTTCCTCCCCACCCCTCCCCCTTAGCCTCTGAGTAATATTGTAAATATTGTTTAAAAGGAAATAAATGCATCAAGCCTGTGCTATACAATCTGAATGTTATTTTAACTTATAGTTTTTGTTTTTATATTTAACTAAAAGGACAGTTTGGGACTCAAGAGTTACCACGTTGACCAATTTCCAGGATTTTTTTTCCTTGAGAAACTGCCAAGTTTTTGCATTTACAGCACTGTGTACTTGACCTGCTAAAGAGAACATGCCACTGTTGCAATGAGAGTTTGGATCAAAGAAAATTGCATCGTTTGCATTTCAAATTCCAGCACTTGTGGGGGTATCGGCACTAAATCTCATTTTCTTCAGCTCAAAGGTATTTTTTTAATCAAAGCCCAAAGTGAAAGCCAAGCTGGCATGTTCTCTTTAATATTTTTCTAGTCATAGATTTGCTTCTTAGCAAGATTAGAAGTGTTTTCTAAAGCAGTTCACGTTCCTTTCCTGGTCTGTTCCTGCCATAAAATAAATAAACTATTTACACTACTACACTGAAATCCAGAGGGTTTTTTTTGGGGAGCTTTTACCTGTTTTTTTGGGTTTTTTTATTCCAAAAAAATGGTGGTATTTGATAGGTGAACACCTGTAGCTTGTGTGGATGAAAATGGAAAGAATTTTGAAAGAATCAATTTATTCTTTCATTATTCTGGAAGAGGCTGAGGGAAGAAATTTGGGGTTTGGATGTTCCAGGGAGAAAACCTGGAGAGAAATAAATGGGAATTCATATTGTCCAGAAATGCACCCAATCCAAATATTTAAGGCCTAAACAACCTGAATTTTAATATCAAATTTAATTTTTAAAAAGGGTTTAATAAAATTATTCTGAAGGAGGGTCAGGATTAACCAGCACAGCCAAAGTTTCAACGTTGATGGACACTCTTAAAAAAAAAATCATCCAAAATAATCAAATAATCGATTAAAAAGAATCAATTTGCCTAAATTTCCATCCAGTTTCCAGGTGGGAAGGCAGAGTTTGGAGCTGTTGGTTGTGCTGGGGCTGCCACAGGAAAAAATGGGGCTGGGAAATAGGAAAGAGGAGGAAAACACCAAAAAAAAAAAAAAAAAAGCTGGAAAAATAAGCCTGAACTAAATTCCCTGAAAAACTCAATCCTGCCTTGCTTGGTTTAAAAAAGCAGGCTCAGCTTAGGCCGAGTTTATTGCAGCAAACTGAATTTAAGATTTTAAGAAAACTCCACCATTGGAATAATTGACATTCCCAGTTTTTTATTTTGAATGGAAAAAAGCAAGGCAAACCTTGTAAGAGTGATATTCCCTCAGGAACAACTTTTTCCTTGAATTTGTGTGGAGGCAAGGAAATAAAATAAAATAAAATAAAATAAAATAAAATAAAATAAAATAAAATAAAATAAAAGCATTGGAAGAAGTTTTTTCCCTGTTTTTAGGACCTGTCAGATTCGAAATCCTTCTCCCAAATCTGTGCCACATTCCAGGATCTGCTGCCTTCCCTTTTCCCAAGCTCTGCTGGGCTCTTCCCACCTGGAGTTTTCCCATTTTGGGATATCCCATAAATGCAGAAGGGGCAGGAAAAAATCCTGGAATTTCCTCCCTGTCACTGCTTCCAGCCTGGAATTCCACACCAAACACCCCATGGGTACCAAAAATCCCAACCAAGCCCTGTCTGAACAAACCCAGCAACATTTCAGGGGGAAAGAGCAGGATTGGGATGTGCTTTCCCATCCTAAAGCATCCCAGGAAATCCCAAAGAACCCCAGGAAAAAAATCACAAAGATCTCAGGAAAAAATCCCAAAGCATCCCAGGAAAAAATCCCAAAGTATCCCAGGAAAAATTCCAAAGCAATCCAGGAAAAAAATCCCAAAGCATCCCAGAAAATCCAAAGCATCCCAAGGAAAAAAATCCCAAAGATCTCAGGAAAAAAAATCCCAAAGCATCCCAGGAAAAAATCCCGAAGTATCCCAGGAAAAAATCCCAAAGCATCCCAGAAAATCCAAAGCATCCCAAGGAAAAAAATCCCAAAGATCTCGGGAAAAAATCCCAAAGCATCCCAGGAAAAAATCCCAAAGTATCCCAGGAAAAAATCCCGAAGTACCCAAGAAAAAATCCCAAAGATCTCAGGAAAAAATCCCAAAGCATCCCAAGAAAAAAATCCAAAGCATCCCAGGAAAAACTGGTTACAACCTCCTGCATTTTGTATTTTGAAGAGCTCATTTCAGTCTCGGGGTGTTCTGGAGGATTCTGAGCCCTGCAGCCTCCCCAGGGAATTCCCTGGAGAATTGGATCCTTTGGGTGTTTTTTTATGCACTGGTAGAAATGGTCAAAACTCAGGAAAAAAAAAAAAAAAATCCCTGAAAAGGAACTTAAAAAGTCTTCAAACGAGTGATCCCGTGGCTCCTGAGCTGTACCGAGTATTTAAGGAGAAATAAATACCAGTACATGCTGAAAGACAAGGTTTAATCATTGATAAAAATGTACAAAAATATTCCAAGGACAGCGGCTTCCCAAATTTTCTCCCCCCACCACGAGCAGGGGCTGGGAAACGGGGCTGGAGCTGCTTCTCCTCCCTCCCCTGGGCTCTGCAGCCTCCTCTTAAGGCAACACAGGGAAATTTGCTTTGAACGTCGGATTTTTTAGTCCTAAATTTTCCCAAAGGGGAGAGGAAAAAAGTGGAGAGGAAGGCTGGAGTAAAAAGCGGGGCTGGGCCGGGATTTTTGGGGATTTTTGGGAATGCCGAAGGGGTTGTGGTGTTGTGTTGTCAACGCTCCCTCTGCTGGCACAGCGGGAAATTCCCATCCTGCACATTATTCCCGGGGATTTGGGATGGATGGGCGTCGGGAATTGGACACCAATCAGTCTTGGACAAAAGTTCCAGTGCCAAACAATCCCCAAAATCCAGGGGTTTGCAGAAAACATCGGGACAAGGATTCCTCACTCCTGCTGCTGCCTTCCCAAAAAAATAAAAACAACAACAAAACAAAACAAAAAAAAAATCATCCCACCCGACCAAATCCATGAGTGAATAAAAGCACGAGGAATTAAATTAGGAATTTTTTCTTCCTGCAGCTGAGCTGGGCTCTGCCCAGGCAGCCCAGGGTTGTTCCCTGCCTTGGGAAGGACACTGGGAAAGTGCTTGGGGACACTGCTGTCCCCTCCAGGGGATCCCAGTCCCCACCCCACCCTGCAGCTCCAGGCCAGGCACAGCTTTGCCCTTCAGAATTCCACGGATTTTTTTTTTTCTACTTTTTGACCGGATTGAAAAGTGGTTAAAAAACTAAAAGCCACCGTTGTTGTGGCCACGGGCCACGGGCCACCGGCCCCAGGGCCTCGCCCACACGAGGCTTGGTTTTATTTTGCCACCTGTAAACATTTTTTGGTATCGTGGATCTTCTCATTGATCTTCATCCAGCTGTTCCAACAGAGTCCTCCTCTGCTTCTCCAGCTCCCCCTCGCTCAGCTCGCTGCCAGAGGTGTCCCAGTTTCCCTGTGGACAGAGGGGACAGTGGCCACCGTGGCATTTCCCAGGGAGCAGGGACACACAGCCAGGGCTGCTCCGTGTCACTCAGAAAAAACAAAAAATCCCAATTTGGGAATGGCAAATCCCTCCAGGATGATCAAATCCCTCCAGGATGATCAAATCCCACCTCGGGCCTTTCCCAGAGCAGCCCTATGGAGCAGCATCCAGCAGATCCTGCTGCCAGAGCCCAAATTTCAGGAGGAAAAAAAGGAAGCAGAGCTTACAGAATCTTTTCCAGGGCGTTTTTTAGTGGGAGATTTATGCTTGGACTCGGATCTCTGTCTGGCTCTTTCCTTCTCACTGTCCCTCTCTCTTTCTTTCTTGTCCTTCTCTCGTTCCACATCGGATTCTGGTGAATCCTGAGGAAAAAAACAAACAAAAAAAAGCAATAGCGAATATTAACGTTGAATATTTTAACGCCCAACTTCCATTTAAAGAATTGCAGAATATGGGATGATTAAAGTTGGAATCTCATCCCATTCCACCCCTGCCACAGGCAGGGACACCTTCCACCAGCCCAGGCTGCTCCAGGTTGTCCAGCCCTGGCTCTGCACACCTGCAGGGATGGAGGAGCCTCGTTTTTCCTGGGAATGCTGTGCCAGGATTCCCTAGCAGGGAAGAAGTGAAGCTCTTTCTGCTTTTTTTTTTTTTAGATCCTTTTGCTGCTCTTGTGCAACTCAGAGCTTCCAACAGGACCCTGCTGCTCAGGCAGGCACCAGCCATGGCTGGGATCCTTCCCAGGGAATTCCTGGATTTGCCAGGATGAATCCCAGGTCACTCATGGAGTCCAACCCTCCCGGTTCAGCAGGTTTAAATGGCTGAATTTTAGGAATATGTAACAGAAAGTTGTTGTTTTGGCAATACCCTCCTCCAGCTTGATCCCAGTTTTTGCCTAGGAAAATCCAGCTGGGATTACTGATGGCAGGTGCCAATTTAAAACTGAGCTTCACTTACAGACTTGTGCCTCCTCTTCTTGCTCTTCTTCTTGTGTTTTTTGGACTTCTTGTAACTCCTCTCTGCAGCACAGGGAGGAACAAACCCCAGGAATGAAAGGATAAATCCCACAGGATAAAAGCACAGCTGGTTTCAATCCCATCCCATCCAATGATCCCATCCCATCGATCCTATCCCATCCCAATGATCCCATCCCATCGATTCCATGGATCCCATCCCATCGATCCTATCCCATCCAATGATCCCATCTCATCCAATGATCCCATCCCATTCAATGATCCCATCATTCCATTATCCCATGGATACCATTAATCCATTATCCCATAGATCCCACTATCCCATGGATCCCATTATCCCAAGGATCCCATTATGCCATGATCCCAC